TTCTGTAAGTATCAGTGGAAAAGCATGTTTTTGCAGCAATATGACAAATTTTATTGACTTTAAATACATTTTATTGCATCGACATTAGGCCAATTAAAAAAAATATTCTGATTCTCAGATAATCCTGCTTTACTTAAAATGGGCCGCATGACAGTCTCATGTTTTATCCCATTACAGGAAGTTGTAAAAAAAAAAAAAAAAAAATATTTGAATCAATCCTGAAATCTGGCATAGGCTCAATTATCAAGTACACAACCCTGATAATGATACTGACAATCATAAATGATACTGGATAATCACACATTCCTGTTAAAACAACATCATGAGATAAATGTATTGCCTTGAGTTGAAATATGATGTTTATGAGATGTTATTTGGTCTGCTATATCACTTTGGTGGAAGCACACTCATTTAGCCCAATAGTGATCCTTTGATAAAATAAAAACCTCCTTCCCGCATTGTCTGAGGACCAGAATATTTTTTTTTTTGTATGGCCTTACCTTGTACAAGGCAAAGAGATGAAACAAAACTTAATAACTTATAACACCTTCTCTTTGAAAATTTATTTCAAACAATGCTGTTAAAAACTCCTTATTTTTTAACTCATCCGAAAAGATTTATTATTGTAAATAAAGAAATATTAATTATTATGGATCATACTAGATTAAGCCTCACAAAAAAAAATTTTCAATTCATCCAAAAAGACTTATTATTGTAAATAAAGAAACATTATTTGTTATGGGTAATTGTTAAATTAAGCCAGACAAAATTTGTTGCATTTTATATCTAAATTGTTATTAAGGCACACCTCAAGTTATATTGAAATATCACAGTTGATCTGAACTCATTTATTACAATGGCAGAATTTTATTATTGATTTTCTTGATCATCAACTAAATCAGGGCAATATTTATTATTTTTGTTTTTAATTTATTATTATTATTATGACTGAGTAAGGCTAAAAAGAATAATACCTGTGTTTGCTGTCCCCAAAAAAGGGACAGTCAGTCTGATGATAGCGTTGGTCGGATAACAATAAACACAGATATTAATTTTTTTAATCCAAAAGAAAATTGAATATTTGAAATAATATAGATTATCATGCCAACACCTGAGTGACATTTAGTAATTGGACAGTAACACACTAAAAACTATTTCGTCGGTGAAGTGTCAAAAGGGTGTATCTAAGAATTTCTAAAGATTAAGAAATAGTACCTCTTGCATTTCAAAATTTCCACAAATCAAGATACAACATTTGGACACATGATACCCAGAACAGTTCTAATTGGCGTAGAGATAATCAGCTTAAGACAGAAATGTGAATATTAATTGGGAGGGTTTAAAAATGCAAAAAAGTGTATTTGACTAATTTCCTGAGATACACCTTTTTGACACTTCACCGACGATTTATGGAATAACAATCATTGGTTAATAAAGTCCAAACCAGTAAGCCTGATTTGCCCTCTTAGGGTGGAGCAGGACGGAGGGCTTGGCAAGGACAGCATCAAGTCATTTGGATTTGACGAAAAACCAAGGTCCTATTCACATATTGGCGTGCCCGTAAAAGAACACTTGACAGTTGGAATTCAAAATAAGAGTACACAATAGTGTCGCTGTCCAGGTAAAATTTCCGTCATAGCACACTGTATGGCTTGAGCTCATCTTCATTATCCCAGTCAGTGCAATAAAGTAGGATGACATTTATAAACCAGTGATTTTTATTCCATATAAAGTTAATTATGATAAAACTACATTTAGTATTCAACCACTAAAGTCTGTTTATTGTCTATATCTGGGTATACATATGTTTTAGGTTTTAATTCATCACCAGTTCAGTATGTAAGACATGTGCTGTATTTGTTATTAAGGCTACACCAATTTGATTTTCTGTTCTTCTGGAACACCTGTCAAATTTCCCTTCTTATTTCTTCACAGAAAAAGACTAATTTAAGACCCAAAGCACTTGATTGTGGAGTTAAAAACCTTTTTGTTCCACAATTTTTAAGTTTTAAAATTTAAACATAACATCTTTCAAGTGGTTTAAATGGCTGTGTGTTTATCGATTCCCCAAAGAGCTGAAAATTAAATTGCTTTGGCCTAATTTGTTTATGTTTTTAAATTATAAGATTCTTTTTGAAAAAAACTTGTTGATTTTATAATATCAGTAGATTGAATAATTTTGTTAAAAGCCTACTTTGATGTGGGAGAAATTGTTGTTACCCCTGCAGTCTGTCTGTTTACAGCCATTGTACATAGTACATACTCGCTCAACAGGTCTGAGTTTTGGAGATTCTTATTTTCAAAATACTTGAATTGTTTGGCTAGTTATATAAGGATGAACTGAAATGATATTTATAATTGTGTATTAAAGATACATTATGTAAGATTTAGATAAAGAGCTAGCCATTTTTGCTATAATATTTCGAAAATAGATAATGTAACATGAATAATTTGAAAATTTTATTCAAATTACTCTATTGCGAGCGAAGATATTAGCCTTTGAAGGCTTGACAAGACGTGTGCAATAATTTCAACCACCGTACTGGTTGTTCGGAGCTAAGTCTCGCTTCTTCATTTTTAGCTTAAATCAAAATATGGCTGAACTGTTCTAATCTATTTAATATCGGAGAAATCTGATGCCATCAAGAGTTGATTATGGCCTGGATAAGTTATTTAATGTCTAATTAATAATTTAGAAAACATTTCAGGCCTAAAGATGGACCTGCAATAGGCAAATTTAGCTCTTGCATAATGTATGTTTAATTTTATGCTGAGTTAGCATCAATCTCGGTCACCAAAACAATCCCTCGTATGCACTGGCCTTTATACTTGATTTATACATGAATTCTATTTTGATGATAAGTAAATCTGCATTAACATTTAATTTGTATTTGAGATTTTAAATATTTATCAATGACTAAATAGTAATTATGAATGTTAATGCACAGTAATATGCTTGTATAAGTATGTAAAACAAGAAATGGTTGGATTGTATTGAACCACATTATTGTGAGATAGGTTCCTATTAAAAACTTCAGGTAGAACTCTTCAAAGTATTAATGCAACATTTTGTTAATATTTAGTTCATCCTGGAGTGTGTCGCCATCCATATCCTGATTTTATGATCTAATTACACATGGGTACTCATGGGTACGGTGCTTGCTCGCCAATCAGGAGGTTGCAGGTTCGCTTCTTGTGTTGGGCAAGAAAGTTCTTCAGGATTTTGCAGCATGGTTTCAATTGGTCAATGTCACAGTACAGAGGGCCTTACAAGAGACAGCATCTAGTTATTTGGATGGGGTGATTAAGCGAGGTCCTGTGTTCTTTTACATGGATGCCAGCGAGTACACAGGTGGACCTGTTGTTTTTTTTGTCCCATCCAAATAACTATACACTTTTTCTTTGGCTGCAGACATTAATATTTTTATATTTTAAGACATTATGTGAAGCCAGCTGAATGTAGGTTTAGATAGAATTACCATTGTAGCACATTTTCTGAAGCCAGTTGAATGTCTATTTAGATAGAATTACCATTGCAGCACAATTAGTGAAGCAGCACATTTAGTAAAGCCACTTGAATGTCTATTTAAATATAATTACCATTGTAGCACATTTAGTGAAGCCACTTGAATGTCTATTTAGATAGAATTACCATTGTAGCACATTTAGTGAAGCCAGTTGAAATTTCTATTTAAAGCATAAGATAAATAGATAGAATTGCCTAAGTAAACAGGCAAAAACAACCTGATAAAATAAATAAATGTAATCTTGTTAAACGAGTGTATAAATTGTTAATTTGTTTTGTGTATTGTTATAATTGTGGTTATTGTATATATGTAATATACTATAAATTATTTTAACCCTAATTAAAGTATCTAAAATAATGTTCAGAAAAAAAATATAAAAATAAACAAAAAACAAAGATGCTATTATACTTCAGTGTGTTTTGTTATTTCATTTGTATATTTTAAAGGAGCTGTTCGCTTATTCTTGAAAGGGGGTGGGGTGGGGTGCAAATGGTGTAATACAGATAGGCGTACCAGGCAGGGGGGAGCAGCTTCCCCCCTAACTTTCGGGCAAGCTGAATTTTCAGGCAGACGCTTAAAGTGAAAAGAAATTTTTATTTCATCTACTTGGCAAAATAAAGTGCCCGAAATCTAATAAAACACTAATTTTTACAGGCTGGAATAGCAGTAAAACATGTTCGCGGCCGTCAAATATTCCAAAATTTTCTTGGGGGGGGGGGGGGTCCACACGAGGTCAGCTCTGCTTCTTCACCTGTCTGTAAACCTAAAATTTCTTCTGGCATTTCTAGTTTTGCTTCCCTAACCGTCATCGAGCCTTAATAAAACACTAATTTTACTTTTCTTTAAATTGAATACCACAAATTTGTGCTGAGTTGACTATGGATTAAAACATTTTGTCTGGAGCCACTCTATTTTGTGAGACTTTTTTCCGGGGAATCAAAACCACACTAAAGCAAAGATACGCTAAACAGTAAATCTTATGCAAGAACCAATAGGAAAGCAAACATGGATAGGATAAACCAGCACGCGGCAGTTGTCATCAACCCTTCCTTGAAGTGTCAAATTTGACAATGAACCCCTCCTACGTGTATGGGTTGCGTGTCGCACTTGCAGCTCAGTGATTCTGTTGAGGCGATAAGTTCTTCATCTGTGAACATACTCTTAAAGCATGTCAAGTGTCCATGACTATTTATCATATCACAACCTGCATAAATATTTGAATTTCAATATCCCCTACTTTTTTTGAAGAGTATATATCATTGGCACATAATTAAATGGTCTAGCTAGTAATGTCCATGTTTAGCTAAATTAAAGCAGCTAAAAAAAATTGAAAGTTTTGATCGACCGACTAGTAATCTTTTGCTCTAATTAGGATAAATGTCTTTCTGTTCCAATACTTGACTGGTAGGGGTACAATACTTGCCCAAGCTACTCCACTGCTTACAAAATCAGAAGTAAAATCAACAAAATATATAAAAGTTATAATTACTGTAATTATTTACATATTTAATATACAATAACGTACAAATATCACACAAAGGAAATTATTTTCACAGAATTAACAAAATCTATCACCTTTTGTTATTTTAACATGGCCTACACATTGACAATCATAACAAATACAATACAACATCATGCATAACCAAAGGTAGGGATATTGTTGATATACATATAAAGACGAAATGCTGATTTAATTACATCCAATAATAAGGTTTTTAGATTATTGTCATACTCCTTGCAGTGTTTCGTTTGATTAGAGCTAATCCCACTAAACACTGCTTTAATGGAAGCAAATTTCTGTTCCAAATTATGACTGGTCAATAGTCCGATTAACAACCAATAGCTAACTGCTTAACAATATCGTTACATTTTAAACAAAGCTCCAAATTGGACCAAATATGTTTACATAACGTTACGTCATGACTCACGATTTTAATATGCCCAATTAACCAGTGCATAGCAGAATATTGCAGAAAAACTAATTGTATGACAAACAAGGCTATCAACACGAATACAATGTAAACAATACTGTATGGAGACGGACAATACTTTCACCGTTTTTAATACCTTAAATCACTGTCCAAAGTTTTAGGGAAGACCCCAGATTAAACGAAGGGCTGTCATGCTGCTGTACTTGGGATAGATTTGATTGAATGGGAAGAATATACACACTCCCTCAAAAGCTCAAGTATCAGAAGCCAATTCAACAATGGCCAGACAGGGATTTCTCGGACCATTGCTTCAGGAATATGAGATATTATCAGCATCCTTATTTCCCCAGCCCAGAGCATGTCTACCCCACACTGTGTGTAAAAATACAAAGGGCATATTATTTATATTCCCAAATATTGTTACATAATATTAAGCAGCTGTGGCTTATAGCTATGAGTTGGAGGTACATTTAGTTAGGTTATTAGTCACTATCTCCTCATATTATTAGATAATATTATATGATTGTCCGTTAAATGGAGGCCACTAATGTATATGTATTATAACTTGTGAATGGCTGTTAAATACTAATAAGGTTGTTGATAACACCTTGATCGTTATAAATGATCTGAGGTAGAAGCATAACTTAGACAAGCTTACAGAGAGACTGCTGTACAAGACAAAACGATTGAAGCAGTCGTGAATTTGGACGATGGCCGTTATGTCTACAATCTGTTATATATATTATGTGCCTGTGTGATGTATTAGTTGTTAGCATAATTCTTGAAATAACTTTTAATGTTTGTTTCTGCATTCTTCAAATAAAGAAGTCGAATCCACAGTCACCATTATCATACTATGTTACAACATACCTTCGAACTAAATGAATTAAATAGGGCTTGACATCCTAGTTTCAACTAAATAAATTAACAGATACATAAATGTAGAGTCATGTTTGCCCTTGAAGTTCTTCAAAATAACATTTAAATTGCAATTGAAATGTCAAATACGAAAAGAACAAACTCTTCTTAATAAATTGTGAACAAGCCAACAGTGAGGCTGATGCCCCCCGCCGAAATCCCAAAATAAATAGATGACACATATTAATTTATTGCACATTTTTTTTTTCAAAAGTATCAAGCAATTAAACTGATTATCAACTATACACTAAGTTTCATCACTCTCTATCAGATAGAAGCGAAGTTATCTTGTCCTAAAGCATTGACCAATCAAATTGCTTAGCTTTAACTCGAAATGTTAATCATTGAACTCAGTCAAGACATTCACTTAATGAACATCAACATCAAGTTTAAACATTCTACCTCAATTAAAAGCAGAGTTTTCATGTTCCAAAGTCTTGACCAATCAAATTGCTTATTGCTCCTTAGCCTAAGCAGAAAATTCTCACCATCGAACTTAGTCAAGGTAATGATATAATGAATCTATACTCAGAGTTTCATCACTCTCACTTAATTATTACCAAAGTTATTGGACGAACCCATTTTAATAGTCCCCTGATTTCTTCGAAAGGCGGGGGGACAAAAACTGATTATTTAATAAAAATACCATAATCCAACCAAAAGTATACCAGGTACTTGGGATACATAATGTTATGTAAGTCAAAGGTAATTAACAATAATTTAACAATTCAATTCAGTATTTCACAGACCATTGGTCAATTAAAAGTCCCAAATTTATTAGTAGTCTATTGTATTAACGAAATAGTAGATTCCATTCAAATGATAAATACAGTCTACGGAATACTAATAAACCAATAGCACATATTAGTATTATAATTAACACTAATGAAAGTTTTCCATCAGATCTTTGAGGCGGGAGGTTAGCAGATTGAAAAGCTTGTCTTATAGTTGGGTTAATCTGTGGAGGTGGGCTTGCACCTGTTCGCCGTCTGGGACCGTCTGTTGATGTTGTCTGGGGATCAGTGTTTGTCGACGTGGGTGGGGGTCTCGTCGTCGGGGGTGAACTAGGAGTGGGACTACTTGTTGTTACTGTAGATGTAGATGTTACAGTTGTTGTATTCGTAGATGCCAATTGACTAGAAGAACTTGTTGTGTGTGATGTAGTGGTGTTTGTTGAGTTGGTACTAATGACTGTACTAGCAGAAGTTTTTGGTGATTCTGGTGGGATATTCAGAGTTGGTTGCTGAGGAAGCCAACCACTATTATTTGTTAAATTATAACCTGGATACATCTGAGGTGGAAACATTGGAGCATAGCATGGTAAGGGAAATCTTGGTACCATTTGATTAGGATTACCAGGTGGATATTGCATGGGAAATGGTAAGCCATATGGTGGCATCATTTGTGGAGGGGCACCTGCCATGAAAGCATTCCAAGGAAATTGTGTGAGCTGAGCATTTGGTGTGGTTGGAGTACTGGTTTCTGAAGCTGTTGTTGGTGTAGTCGATAAAACAGATGTTTTAGTCCCCTGGTTAGCAAAAGATGTTTCCGATGATTCTTTACTCGTATCTGCAGATGTATCAGAGTTTTTGACTTTTTCTCCTTGAAAGTCAATTTGTGTGGCCAATTCCTTTGCTTCCTGTGTTGTTTTTTCTGAGGCCTGTGTAACGGGAGGAAGAATGTGACCTATGGCGCCACAATTTTGACATTTCCAGTCTTGTGATCTGAAGAAAAATGGCACAGAGTAATGTTTCAACTCATAAATTTGAAAATCAGTTTTACTTTAAAGATGCATTATGTAAGATTTAGATAAAGATGCATTATGTAAGATTTAGATAAAGATGCATTATGTAAGATTTAGATAAAGGTGCATTATGTAAGATTTAGATAAAGAGCTAGCCGTTCTTGCCATAACAGTTCAATAGGAAGATTTAGCCCTTAGATAATGCATCTTTAAAGGCAAAACAGCATAAATCAGAAACAGTCTTATCCTTTACTATAAAAATAACCACACAATAGAAAGTATTTTTTTAAAATTTATATTTCACGAGAGATCAACGATTATTGGCAGAACTGAGAGGCCCAGTGCCTAAAGCGCTGGCTCAGTGACTAAAGTGCTGGCTCAGTGACTAAAGCGCTGACTCAGTGCCTAAAACACTGGCTCGCTAACCACAGTGTTGGCTGAGTAGTTCAGAGACAGACTCAGTTTATAAGTTTTTTACTAGAAACTGTCAACAACATTAAGTAATTCCTCAGATATTTTTAATATTCAATTTATTATATGAATGAAAATCAAGGAAAGGTAACTCACTTTTTGGCGAGGACTTTCCTTTCTTCTGGTGTATAATCTAAAGATCCTATAGCTCCAGCACCATGAGTTGGCATAAAACCTATTATAGCTAACAATGCTGTTCTTACTATAAAAAAAACAAAAAATAATTGATATCATTTGTAAGCATTATCTTTAGGTTAAACCAATTTAATTTTTTGTTCTTCTCGGATGTGATAAACAAAAACCCACTCAATAAACAGTTATTGTATTCCATATAATTATGACGTGTGTATTTCCAGTTCAATTACTAAATGTCATTAAAATAACTTAAATATTTTGTGTCTAAAATTGAACGATATTAAATATTTATAATCTTACTTGACCAAGATGGTTGCCATGATTCTGGATGATGGCCAGAGATACTCAGACAAATTTTCTTAAATATCTCAAAACGGCCATTTGGCTAAAATATAGAAGAATTAATTTAGAAAATATAAATTTATTACAATAAATTAAATAAAATCTCCAAAAGATGTATACCTCCGACATATGTTATCAATTTTTGGGATTAAGTTTAACACTCTACTTTCCTGAGCTAAAGAATCGAGTATCAGTATACGCAAGGCAGTGATTTATGTGGAAATTTTGCCAGGACAGCAGCGCTAGGGCATACGTTTATTTTGAATTCCAACTGTCAAGAGCTTTTTTTTATGTGCACCCCAATGTGTAGACAGGAACTCTGTATTTCATACTATTCAAACAACTAGACACTGTTCCTTGCCAGGCCCGCCATCCTACACCACTGACAAGGAGAAACCATGCTAGAAAATCCTAAAAAAGTTTCTCTGCCAACAGCAGGATTGAACCCAGGACCTTGCCAGCACCTTTCTCACTTAAAACAGATTCTTGATGGAATGACATATTAAACTTTGTGCCACAATATTCCTGTACTTTATATCTATTCTTTTAACGACAACACATCAGTTTTCATTTCTTTGAAATAATTAACATGATAGATTAAGTTACTGGGAGGTTTCATATAATACCTACTGCTAATAATTTAATACTGGGAGGTTTCATTTAACACCTATTGTTAATGATATAATACTTGGAGGTTTCATTAAATACCTACTGTTAATAATATAATACTGGGAGGTTACATGTAATACCCACTGTTAATAATATAATACTTAGAGGTTTCATGAAATACCCACTGTTAATAATTTAATATTGGAAGATTTCATTAAATACCTACTGTTAATAATATAATACTTAGAGGTTTTATTAAATACCTACTGGTAATAATATAATACTTAGAGGTTTCATTAAATACCTACTGTTAATAATATAATACTTAGAGGTTTCATTAAATACCTACTGTTAATAATATAATACTGGGAGGTTTCCTTTAATACATATTGTTAATAATATAATACTGGGAGGTTTCCTTTAATACATATTGTTAATAATATAATACTTAGAGGTTTCATTAAATACTGGGAGATTTCATGTAATACCCACTGTTAATAATCTAATACTGGGAGATTTCATTAAATACCTACTGTTAATAATATAATACTGGGAGGTTTCATTGGATAATCTGGAGGTAAAATAATTCTGCCATGATAAATTCCACCATCAAAATCAGAATCGGCCGGACCTCGGATAGTAAAATGCCATTCAAATAAATTATCCTGAAATAAAAATTTATCACATTTTTTCTCATTTCGGATTGTGGTTCAACAATTAGTTCTAGCATTTCATTTACGTTCCAATACCTATTTTCTGGTACTTTGAAGTGTGTAAAAGATTTTGATGTAAGGGGCAATAACTCGGGGTTTAACATCCACTCAACACAAACTAGGACATTACAAGACTAACAAATGGTAAATCTTCATTTCAATAATGAGCTTGCCCGCCGTTGGAAGAAACCAGAGAAAACAACCAAGAAGAGGCAGATGGCCCTCTGGGATCTAAACCAAGACACTCAACTCTATGGCAGACCATATGATCCAGAGTGCATGTATTTGCCACCCTGTCTAACCCCCCAATAACTCAGAGAAACTCCCTCCAAGTCCTTGAATAATGTTAACCTTCTTATATCAGAAATCTGAACAGTTACCTTTTTAGTTAACAAAAAAAAAGCATGAAAAAAAAGCATTTTCAAATGGGGATTTTACAAGGTTATAAAACTTTGTATTGTACTGTGTAGCCTATGTGTCACAGCTTCAACACATCTGTTTGAAGAAAAATTTACATTTTGTCAGAAACTACCTACATCTAAGGGTTGAACATGGTATTGTTCAGTTGGTTGGCTTAATTCTTGAGCTTCTTTCATCAGCCGCTTGACAGCTGTTGATTATTAAAAAAAAAAAATTAAATTAAATGAAATAGGGTTTAAAGATACTTTATGGGAGATTTTAATAGAGAGTTGGCCATTCTTGCTATAACAGTTCGAAAAGAGATGATGAAAGAAGAATATATTGAAAATTTCAGTCAAATTACTTTATTCTGAACAAAGTTATCACTATTGTAATTTTAGAAATAGGAGTCAACTCTCTCTTCACCGTCTCCTAGAACAGGCGATCGTTTGATTGACACTCCACCTACATAATCTCGATTATCAAGTAACGTTTTCAATGGCTGTGGTTTGAGACGGGGTTGCAATTCAATTCGTATCACATTTATTTCTACTACAAATTAAAAATAAGACTTTTATATAAGAAGCGAAAGTTTGAAAGGAATGGACCAAATCAATGAGGCATAATTATAGCCGACTTCTTGTTAGCCTGCGTGTACTCTTATACTGTAACTGGTAGGCCTACGTAACTCCCGAACAGTGATCCAATGGAGCTGCAATTCAACTGGGGTGATGTTAGCTGCGTTGTTTATCAATTTCTATATTTTTTCTGTTAACTGCAAGTGACAAAAGAGCGTACAATATCGACATCCAAACTCTCATTTTAACAACAACTAAACATAATATCAAGGCCGTATATATCGAACTTTCAATCAAATTGACTGACATGCGGCCTCGCTCAACAGCGGCCTTGCTTCGTACAATCTATCATTTAGCCTCGATCTAAAATTATTTCCGGGAGTATGACGTCAACGTAACGGTTAATCTCCGCTTACTACGCCATTTAAAAATTTAATCAATCAACAAAATCCTGTTTAAATCCAAGCCGAATCCAAGCCATACGTGGGTCTACGGAGTTGATTTTGTGCTTGTTGTGTAAATAAAGATCTAATTTATAATTTCTATGACATCTGAAGCCTAAATAAAGACTTGCAATAATCAGATTTAGCTCTTGCATAATGTATGTTTAACTTCCTACTTTTCTACACTAATGTAATATAATTAGGGATTGCTGCCATCTAGAGGTCTAATGTGCTATAAACATCATAACAACCTGACCTAAAAAGATCTCTGTTTGGATATGTGTTTTTTCAAATTTCAATTAGGATGTTTTGTAGATGCATCTTTGACCAACATATAAATGTAGCATAAATAAAATGCAATCTACATTCCAGGTCAGTTGTCGAACCATAAAATATATAAGATGTAGTTTTACATACGGTAATCTGTGTTTGGTTAATTCTCTGCATATTTAGACATATTCAACCTATCAAATTGATACCTGCATGTATTGTTTTTGGTGCTGTTTTGTATGAGTATATGCCATGCAGTGTGTTATGAGGATAAATTTGACCAGACAGCGACGCTACATCCTTCACTCATTTCAAAGTTCAACTATCAAGGGTTCTCTTATGTTCATGCCAACATGTACACAGGACCTCACTTTTTTGTCCTATCCGAATGACTATAAACACCCTTCCTTGCCAGGCCCCTCGTCAGATTATAATAAGATATAATTTTTTTTTTTTTAGTATTTTACTTTGCTATGACAACTCTTTAATATAAAATATTTATGACCTGTACAACATGAAACATGTCTGTGGTCTGCATGTCTGTCCATCGAATCATTTCAGGTCTGATAACCATTATAATAATGGGCTATAAAGACATGTCTAAATGCAGTGTCTTGAGAGGGACCTTAGTTTTTTATCTCCTCCAAACAAATACACTGTTCTTGCCAAGCCCCCCATACTGCACCACTGACAAAGGGAAACAATTATTAAAGAATTAAAGAATCTATAAAAAATATCAAAAAAAAATATTATATTCCATTAGCGAAATAGTTTTTAGATGATTGATTGAGTCAACAATCGGCTCAGGGACCTTCACAATGACTGTCAGCTGCACCGGTAAGATGCATATGTTAGCAGGTTTGTTTTATTCCTCTACATACATGTAGACTACATCATGTATTATAAGGTCCATGAACCTACTAAGTTATAGGTGCCTATGGCATGGGTTTTGTTTTTTAGTTTTTATGTGGTGAAGTCCTCCTGCATTTATTTACTTTATGATTGTGAAATGGTACCCTGATTTGCACTGCAGCTTTTAATATAACAATGCGACATTTCAACAGACTGCAGACAGATTAAAAAATTAAAACTTTCTTTTCATGGTCCTTTTAAAATAGTAAATCACTAAAATATAAAACATAAAACGAAAGTAGCACAACAAATTGATTGTCAAATTACAACCTACGTTCAGTGATTAATTATTTACATAAATTAGAGTCTACCTACCCGGACTTCGCATATTATATTGACTCTGCATTGTATTTGGTTTTAGGCTTTAATAGACATATACTATAATCTCACAAAATTATTTCATCACACTGCAATAATCAGTTAATGCCAATTTGATATGAAACGTATCTGATAACTGTACGTGTACTTTCTCAGAGAATCGACGTTCAATAACATTCACTCCCCGTCTGCATGGTAATTGATTGGTTAGTATAAATAGAATGACATTGATTATCCAATCAAAGAAAAGCTAACATATGGAATCAGAAAACGAATCCCTTCTTCCGACGGAAACACGTGGGTCTATTTATATATTGCTAAAGTCAAAGTCGGAAGGCATGGGAAAATGTTGACAAACGTCTTTCCCAAATGTTTAATCTACCGACAATCAAAACGAATTGATAGTAGCGTCTTGATCAAAAGATACAAACAGAAGAAGAAAAGGGTAGAATAAATCTTGACATTAAAACAGATAGGAAATAACAAAATTAGGCATTTATTTCTTTGAAACCAGATTTAGATCTACAAATTCTAGGCATCATATATTTCCATCATCCATGTACACGTCCATTTAACTTTTCAGCATCGACCGGGATAATGAAGAAGGGCATTGTGTGCTTAGGGAACATGTACACCTACACAAGACTACAATTTTTTTGTCCAATCCGAAGGACTTGTCGTTGTTCCGTGCCAGGCCCTCGTGCCACAGCATTCACAAGGGGAAACTCGAGAAACTTCTCAGCCAACACGTTGGATCGAGGCATTGGATCAAGCCCAGGGCCTCGTTGTCAGGCATGGCCTACATAAATCACATGTATTACACGTGACATATTTCATTTTTCAAATTTAAAATATCACTTTTATATATCCTGCTAAAAAATGAAATGTGGAAAAACGTCCTACTTTTCTGCACCGACTGGGTTAATAAAGATGGGCATGCCATATGCTATGAGGGAACTTCTGCCCAGACAGCGGCGCTACACCCTACACTCTAATATCAAATTCCAACTGTCAAGGGTTCTTTTACATGCACTCCAATGTGAACACAGTACCTTGTTTTTTTTTCGTCCCATCAGGAGGACTTTATATGTAGTATTTTGCCAGCTAGGCCCTATAGCTCTGTCTTGCATATATCACTGACAAGGGGCCGGAAATTCCACTGATCTTTCTCAGGCAACATATAAACAATATGTCTTTTCTTTTTTCAGTCTCTCAACCTTTCAAAACAGTCAACATCTGAAAGAGCACTGGTGTATTTTGACACTTATTATAAACCAGTATATAAAAATTTGTGGCCTTCAATTCGTGTTTCACTCTTGTCTGGACAAAAATATGGGGCTTTAGTCAATAATTTCTCTAACTGTGATTCGTGTAACATTTTATCAAAACTTGGAGCACATGATATAATAGAAAAAGCGAAACATGTGCATGTAGAAGAAGTTAAACATCAATCAGAAAAACCTGTCAAATATGAAGAATTGATTTCATCAATAGATCAAAAACAAAATTTGGACCTATCAGATGACCTTTATTTAAAAGAATCAGATGATTCAGAGTCGAGCGATGATGAAGAATTTGTGAATCCAGATTTAGCAAAGGACTCTGATTTGCATGAGTTTGTTCCAGTAGAAAGAGTCTATACTGAAAAAGAATCCTTGCTAATAGAAGAATCGTATAAGGGTGTTTTTATTGACAATGATATCAATGTTGATGTTGTGAAAGATGAGGAGATAACTCTACCTGACCATCTTAAAGTTTTTACTTTTAAACCTGGAAATGTTTCTGATTTTCCTCCACCTAAGCCCGATCCTGCGGGCTTATTAGGTAGATGATGATTGATTATGTTAAATGATTGGTTGACTAGTTATTAGTTGTTGAAATATCACCATCCGTTGGTCTTTTGTGCTTTAGATCATAAGGTCTGTCATTGAGTCAAATGGCATTGTTGGATGCCAAGCATGTATGTGACAGGAAGTCAGAGGCAGAGCCATGTGTCATGTTGGGTGGGGGGGGGGGCATCAACAATATGAGTCCTGGGATTAGTGTGAAAATGCAAAGAAAATCGGGGGTAGTACCTTCATGTGAGATTACACAGCATGGTGAAAATCATGAATATGTACCTTCGTGCATGAATAGGCAGCAGGGAGCGTGATATCACTGCGGAGGTGGACTTGGATAAATTGGTGACTAAACCTAGAATGTTTCCACTATAGATCGATACAATCAACTTGTTCGATATTATTATAAAACTGGGATATAATAAATGACTGGCGGTAAATTTGGGAGTAAAATTGACCTGATCTCCTTGCAGACTTCAGTGCTTCGCATGTGGGCACTGTCGCTCCGCCATCAATACAATCCACCAATAATTCCCCCACCCCCCCCTGCCACACTTTTTAAACCATGTCCCTGCCACTGTAACAGATTCTAGTTTTCTGTTACAGGTTATTGTAGATGTTTAAAAACCTAATGATAAGTTTCAAATCTGTGTTTCTATTTCAGACTATATGTTTGATGTTTAAAAACCTAATGATAAAGTTTCAAATCAATGTTTTCTATTGCAGACTTTATGTTTGATGTTTAAAAACCTAATGATAAAGTTTCAAATCAGTGTTTTCTATTGCAGACTTTATGTTTGAAGTTTAAAAACCTGTTGATAAAGTTTCAAATCCATATTTTGTATTGCAGGTTATTATATGTTAGATGCTGCATCTATTTTACCTGTGATAGCGTTAGATATTAAACCTAATGATAAAGTTTTAGATTTATGTGCTGCACCAGGTGGAAAAAGTCTGGCTATATTACAAACACTGTTACCAGGTACAGTAAATCTGTTCTATTGGCTGATCAAGGATTTCCAGCTGGGGTGGGTGATTTCAGATCACCTTATAAATTACTGAGTTATTGTAGTGACAATTTGCAAGTGTTGAAGGCACGAAAACCTCGATAAGGGGGTCTGGATGGCCTCCCTTAGAAAATGGAATGCTGTGAATGCAATTTCAGGCCTGGACACCAAAAATAGAATCTGGACCCTGGGTTCACCATTACAAATGTGAATAATTTTAATAAGGCAAACTATCATGAGTTTGATTTCCCTCCACAACAGATTAAAACTTTAACATTAGTTAACTTCAATTAATATTTTATGCTGGGAATAAAATGTATATTTTCAAAAAGGCATGTATTGATTAAAATATATTGTATAATTGGATTAGTACTATTTTGTTTAGGTTCATTAACAAGCAACGACATAGCATCAAGTAGATTGAGAAGATTGACAGAAATTCTACGCTGGTATTGTCCTGATAAAGAAAATTCTTTAACAATCACTAAACATCATGGCGAGGAATTTAATACACCAGATTATGATAAGGTAGAATATAAATTTTGATGGTTGATATGATTTAGTCGAGATATATATAATCGTGACCCCTATCTGTCTGTCAGTCCACATCTATTTATGAACACATTTCTCATCAGATAAAAGTTGGTGTATAACCTTCATGATTCTACATGGAGCTTTTAACACTCGTCACTGAATGAACTTTTTCATTTTTTTCTGATATCTCGATTTAAAAAATGTATCCTTTAGAATCTATTGTATAGAGCATGGGTTCCAGATTGGCCATATATGCCAGTCATGACCACTTGATAAACAAAATGACCGAAACATCTCCGGACCCATCAGTCAATGAATCATGTGTCTACTGAATGAGCATTTTCGTATTATCTAATATCTCGATATAATAAAGAAATTGTCGTTATCATGAACATCAAGCTCTTTTCAACTCAACTCCTTATTGCAATGTGATTAATTGATATTTTTGAATGAATATGAAATGATTTTTTTTCCCTTGTAGGTTTTAGTTGATGTACCGTGTAATACAGATCGACATGTTTTAATGGAGGACACTGAGAATAATCTCTTCTCTGTATCAAGAGATAATGAACGTCTTTTATTAGCTGATAAACAAAAACAACTTCTAGTGTACGTATCATTTTATTCAAGTCTGAGAGCATGTTTTGGGTGAATATTGAGCAATATAGGAATCCCTTCAAACTACAATTTTGTAAAATGGTTCAGTTCCATTCAGTATTTACAAAGATATGTTGAACTGAAATTCCATTAATCTGTGCTGCTCCCTGTGTAAATGGTACACCACTTATCTGAAATCTGATTGATGGGCCTGTTCTTAATCCAATTGAATCAAAGTCTGGACATTTTGATTTTGTTTTATTAATTAAATGTTAAATAATCAATTTGAATAGATATTAGCATGGAGTAATCTGTGAGAAATTTGATATTTTCCGAAAAAGTCTGAAATAAATCTCTACAATGTTTATTTGGAGAAATAGACTTACTTATCCACTTTATATAACCTGGTACTAATCATTCAATTTCTATTTACATCAAGGGATTTGCTTGATTGTCAATTTGGAACGTTTCCAAATTGATGGAATTGCTATCAAATGACATGGAATTGAGTTGTTACTGTACTGATAACAAATGTGGTGTGACTAGAATTGTGACGTAATCACATAATTGGAGTTATGGTATCATATTCTGTTGACACATACATTATCACCTGAAGTTCTTGTTTTGGCTAATATAGGTCTAAATAGAAAATAGACAATAAAAAATGAGGAATATAGGACTTGGAAGGAAAAATGGATATCTTGTTCTCTCTATATAGATTACTTTATTCCTAGTATTTTGTTCATATTACAAATGTGAAAAACTTGACAGATATTTGAATGTAATTATTTCAGAGCTGGTATCAAGTCGTGTAAACCTGGTGGATCGATTGTTTATTCAACATGTACTCTGTCACCACCACAAAATGATGGAGTTATTCAGGCCGCTATTGAAGAAATATGGAATGAAACTCAAATAGATATCGTAATACAAGACATTTCATGTATTGCTCATAAATTTAAAGACACTTTTAGATTTTATAAAGGTTGTAGATATGGACAACTAGTTCTTCCATCATTGATTGCTAATTTTGGTCCGATGTACTTTAGTAAAATTAGAAGATTAAAGTGAATAGAAGCATTTAATTTAGTGTGATTGAGTGATACGAGTATAATAGAATATGTAATGAACTTAAACAATTTCTTTGTATCTCTTTTTAAATAAACAATTTATTTATCATATGATTTAAAAGTTTATGTTTTGATACCACATCAGGGGACACAGTGGGTAAGAGGATGGCTCGCTAGCCTGGAGGTCAGGTGTTCGATCCTTGCATTGGCCGAGAAAGTTCATCCAGATTTTCCGGCGTGGCTTCCCCTTGTCAGTGATGCGGGACGGAGAGCCTGACAAGGACAGCTGTCTAGTCGTTTGGATGGTACGAAAAACCGAGGTCCCATGTACACATTGGCGTGCACGTAAAAGAATTCGAAATAAGAGTAGACCGTAGCGCTGCTGCCCGGGCAAAATTTCCCTCATAGTACACAGTATGGCATATGCCCGTCTTCATTAGCCCAGTTCGGAGCAGAACAGTAGGACCTTAAACCTCATTTCCTTTTTGCTACCAAATCAATTAATGGTAAAGGGGTGGGGGGGGGGAATGCCGAATGGTTAGGATGTGCGTCCTGTATCATAAGGTCTGTCACTGAGTCAACTGGTGTGGTTTCGATTCCCCAAGGAGTAGGGTTGTCTGTCCAACCTTGTTGGTTTTCTCCGGGTTCTCTGGTTTCCTCCCACTGCTAAAGACCTCTACGTGCAAGCAACTAATTGAAATAAAATTGAACCATACGTTAGTTCCGAAATGACCTAGTTTGTGTCGGGTGGACGTTAAACCCCATTTCTCTTTCTCTCAATTATGGCAGCTGCATAATAAAATAAATTCACAGAAGATTTGTGTGACATTCAAATTATTTACATTTGCAAGAGGAATCGGGTAGTCGATCATAAGTGGGGTGGTTGCAATCCCAAGATTGGATGTGACAAGGAGTAGGCTTTTCTCTGGGTCCTTAGGTTTCCTCCCACTGCTAAAGACACATAGTGGTGGATCCAGGCCCACTCAGTCTCCCCCCCCCCCCACACCAAATAACAGTATACCATGCAATGTGTAAATTTGAACATTTTGTTGGTTGGGGTGATGATAGGGGGTTGATTGCTTCTGGGATTAACATATGGTACAATTTAATTTCAATAATTTGCATGCACATTGTTTTCTGAGGCATTGGGGTGGGGTGGGGGGTTAACAGGTAATTAGAGGACCCAGAGAAGACAGACAAGGTTGGGCAGGTGAACCTACAAGCATAGAGTCGAAACCATGCCACTTGACTCCATGGCAAACCTTATGATCTAAAGCACTTGAACACCACCACAACCACCAAATCACCACCACCCCTTCTGGTAACATATAGAAGTGTCCTATAAGTAAAAGTGTAGATTTAATGCTCAAAATTAAATGTAGGTGCGACACTTAAATAAATGCATTGACAGTTGTCTCCCTTCTAAAAACTCTATTAAATAAGGAGTTTAATGGTGTGCGTGAGAAATCGAGATGGATATTAGGAAATTGGTACCAAATACTGGCAGATTTAACAAGAAAAATGACAAATTCAAAAAGAACAAACAGAAACCCGCCCCAGAAGTAAAGAAAAAGAAATGGCAACTGATTGACGAAGAAGTCGCTGTATTAAAGACCAAATATTCGGAGGTAAGGCCTGTCATGTCAATTCAGATGTAAACAAAACCACGTGTTTTACCGTTTACACACGATCACGATGTCGATATTGACAGTCAAGTGAAACACATGTAACACACGTTTATGAACTTTATTTAATATCATCTACAATTCTTTTGCATGTTAATGAGACAACATTAAAGTAGGCAAATTTTTAACTCAATCATCCACACTGCAAACGTGGCTTATTCTACTTCTTGTAGTTTGGTCAATTTAAATCAACATTGATGTTGAGTTACACATGTACCGGTATCTTTTTATATGCATTGCCTATTTGTGTCAATTTCTAGTTGCCAAAGAATAGAGATTTAGCTCCTTTAATGTTCATTAATAGAAATATATATTGGTTCACAATAAATAAAAATATATTATTTATCATAAGATGTTGTTATTGACTATCCTATGAGTCATTGATCCATTTGAGGGCGATGTGTAATGAATGTGCGGTCCACATGCTGCCTGGTAAAAACTCAGATGCACTCATAATCTTTGATTATCTATTGTTATCATCATATTACGTATCATGTAACCAGTTTAGACATCAGAATCAACATTCAAAAGTTGACATGTGATCAACTGAAGTTGTCTCTTAATCAATCTCTTCAACATGCCCTCATCTTGTTAATCTGTAAGGTGCAGATTAAGGAGGATGTTAACCCCATTTCATTTCCTTTAATTTCCTCTCCATATTAAATGGATTTGTTCACGTCAATAATACATCAGACTTTATTTTGATTTGTGAAATCCCACTACTTTAAGTTACAATTTATATTGTGTACTAGCTATATAAGGCTTGTACAGTATATTTAAAAACAAAGTAATAACATAGTATTTTCTCAAATTTCAGATAAATTCTTCAAAAGTAGAAAAATTCACTGACTTTCCACTTTCGAAACTAACTCTTGATGGTAAGTATAACTTAGTCATTACATCTACCAATATTGTTTGAATGGGTAAAGAAATGTCATAGTTTAAACAATTTTATAAATTAAACCAAAAATTGATTTTGAAAAAAACATCTTTTGCTTTATAGTTTATCTCTCCATTTATATTCCAGGTCTTTCAGCATCTAAATATTCAAAACCAACAGATATCCAGAGAGAATCAATAGGTCTAGCATTACAAGGTCATGATATTCTAGGAGCTGCTAAAACGGGATCTGGAAAAACTTTAGCATTTCTTATTCCGGTAAGCTTTGTATCATTTGATTTATTACAAAATGTATTGGCCTGCTGTATGACCCATCTGTGTGAGATATTTTGTTTAATAGGACAGTCATTCATAGTAGAACATTTATTTTTTGCCCTTCTTTTCTGGAAGAAACTACCTCAAAATATTAGAATTATTTCATCGTTGGCGTTATTTAAGAAAAATTTGATAACGCACTTATTCTTAGAGGCTTTTCCTCGGTCAAAAATCATTTTAATTTATGCATTAATGAAATCTATAAGATTTTAAGTTGATTTCAATGTTCACGTGTATATCTTATTTGTATTTTAGTTTATTTATTTTGTTTGTATACTTAATTTCTGTACCATATTTTGTAAAGCACACATAGTCGTAAGCACTTAGTCATTGAAGTTTTGCGCTTTAAAAATGTACAATAATAATGTGATATTAGCATAGTATGACATGTAGGTTGAAGAACTAGTAATAAAGACAGTCTTTAACAGTGTCTAACTGGCAGTAATAATTTATACAAATTTTAAAGAAGACTTGAAAACAATGTAATGGGGTTTAACATCCTACTTTTCTGCACCAACTGGGCTATGGAAGACAGGTTTGCACAATGCAGTGTGCTTTGAGGTATATTTTGCCTAGACAGCTGCACTAAGATTGACCCTGATTTCAAATTCCGACTGTCAAGGGTTCTTTTTTATATGCATGCCATCGTGTACATACATGTAGGGCCTTGGTTTTTAATACCATCTGACTGACAAGACTCTATTCCTTGCCAGACAATCTGTCCTGTAGCCACTAGCAAAGTAAAGCCACGCCGGAAAATCCGGAGACTCGTCCACGGCCAGGATTGAACCTAGGTAGGACCTCCTGGGTAGTGAGCCAGCACCTTTCTCACTAAGACACCATGGCCCATTTTAGAGAAGGATCATACTTGTATTTGCCTGTAAGAAAACGAGACAGTTACTTTAATTAATGAACCCATCAAACATTTGTTTAATACCATGTTCAAGGTTATTTTGATATTAATTTAGATATTAGAACATCTGTACAGAGAAAAATGGACACCATTAGATGGCATGGGAGCTTTGATTATTTCTCCTACCCGAGAATTAGCTTTTCAGACATTTCAAGTTCTAAAGAAAATTGGCACAAGTCATGATTTTTCAGCTGGTCTGGTCATAGGAGGAAAGGTGGGTATTGATACTGAACAGTCCAGTGTTCATTGAAGTTCTCATTTCGGATGTTCAAATTTTTATCAATAAAAGTATTTCAGATATATACATGTATGCAGTACTGTCATATTAGAATACAAAAGGGTGCTTTTAGTTAACATATACTATTCAAAAAAAGTAGGGGATATTTGATTTTTAAGTGTTATTAAAGTCACCTAATGAAACTGACGAAGAAACAAATGACAAAATGAAACGAAGTTCACATTCATCGATTTATTTCAAATGATCGTTAGACTAAGTAAGGCACAGACTGACCATTATAAGGGTAAAATGATACCCGGGGTCAAACAGCAAAGTAACCACAGGATCACAACCAAGTCAGTAACGGGTAAATCCTCCTCTGTTTGCCAAACAAGCATTGATCCGACGTGGCATACTCCTAATGAGACGTCTAAGGTCATTTTGGTCCAGATTGTCCCATTCCTGTTGCAACGCAGCAGCAAGTTCTTGGACATTGGCAGGACGTTGTTGACGTTGACGTAACCTCTGTCCAAGCATGTCCCAGACATGCTCGATGGGGGAGAGGTCGGGACTCAGTGCTGGCCAAGGTAATGTGGTGATGTTCTGTTGTTGGAGGTAACCTGTAACGATCCTGGCCCTTTGACATCTTGCGTTGTCATCCTGGAAGATGAAACGGCGGCCATGACGTCGTGCGACACAACATGGACTGCCAAGATGTTGTCCCGGTAGTACTGGCCTGTAACACGCCCTGCAACAACATGTAAAGCCGTTCTTCCAGCAACAGTGATGCCTCCCCACACCATAACAGAACCACCCCCAAATCGATCATGTCTGATGACGTTAACGTCTTGGAAGCGCTCGTTTCGACGACGCCACACCCTCCTACGTCTGTCCAAAAACTCAAAAGTGAACCTTGACTCATCTGAAAACATCACATTGCTCCAGCGTCGATTATCCCAGTGTTGACGATCCCTACACCAACGACGTCTTGCCTGAATGTGATGATCTCTCAAACAAGGGATCACGTGAGGACGTCGGGCGCGAAGGTGACCCCTATGCAGTCGATTCCGAATCGTCTGGCCACTCACTCTCACACCAGTGTCTGTTTGAAGACGAGCGCTGATCTGATTTGCTGTGATGACACGATTTCTCAAGGCCAAGGTACGGATAAATCGATCCTGGGCTTGAGTTGTCGCCCTTGGTCGACCTGAGCGTGGTCTGTCCTGTTCAGATTGTGTATCACGGTATCTGGACCATAGCCTGCTTATGACAGACTGAGAAACATTCATCGTCCGCGCCACAACCGCCTGTGTTGTGCCGATCTGTAGCATGCCAAGGGCACGTAACCTTTCATTTTGGGTAAGCCGACGCATATCAAAATTTGTTTTCTGGTCACTAAAACAATTAAACTGATGTTTCCACCCTGGAATTCAATGCCACAATGACTGTAACATTCAAAGTCAGAGTCGTGCAAATCTTGGGTTGGACCCCCATGATGATCCCAAGCATCACCTGCATTCCATGCGGTAGCTATTGGTGCGTTTGGGCGTCACATGTAACTGGAAATGTTTCTTCTGTTAGGTTCTATAGTGACTTTTTTCGTAGTCATTTGCATATTTTAGTATTATGCCCCCAAAATCAAATATCCCCTACTTTTTTTGAATAGTATATATTCTTTAGTTAACGGCACCGCACATAATATTACGTTATTAAAGTGGTACTCCAATTATAATATTTAGCTAATACTAGTTAACTTTAGATAAAAAAAAAGGTAACTAAATTGAAAGTAGAAGATGGTATGTAACTATTATCTATTTTTAGCATGTACGAGAAGAGAAAGAAAGAATGACAACAACTAATATAGTAGTATGTACACCAGGTAGATTATTACAACACATGGAAGAAACATTTAACTTTACAGCAGATGCATTACAAATATTAGGTTAGTACACAAGAGAAATATTAGGTTAGTACACAAGAGAAATATTAGGTTCGTACACAAGAGAAATATTAGGTTAGTACACAAGAGCAATATTAGGTTAGTACACCTGACAAATAGCAGGTTATTAGAATTCATAATAATCACAGACATTGAAACAGGCTGTCTTAGAAATGACACATGCATTTCAAACAAGATGTAAAAACTAGCGGTTATGACTTAATAAATTTTAGTCTAACATTGAAAAGTAAAGTTTCGTATTGTATATAAGAGTTAGTCTCTATGGCATGAAAAAGAAGGCAGCTCTAGTCAGGTGACATTTTATTTTGGGGGTGTGGGTCAAACTTTGTGCTGTGTCTTCCTTAGTGTTTGATTGGGTGAATTGAGGATCGTATGGGTAGCTTTGACTTTTGCATATAAAAACATTTGAAAGGATTTATGAATATAATATTGTGTAGTTGAATTCAGTTGTTTTACTTTTCTGCAACAACTGGGTTAATGAAAACGGTCGTATGCCATACAGTGTGCTATAAGGTAAATTTTCCATGTACAGCAATTGAACTTTAACTGTTGCAGGCTCCTTTATGTGAAAGCCAACATGTGCATGGAACCTTGGAACCTTTGTTTTCCATACCATCTGAACGACTAGAGGCTGTCCTTGCCAGACATACTCAATGAGCCACTGTAGCTCTCTTAAAAATGTGATAATATTATACAGCCTAGTTTTGTATTTTCCTTTTTAAGTGTTAGATGAAGCAGATAGAATATTAGATCTGGGTTTTGCTGAAGCAATGAATGCAATTATAGAAAACTTACCAGCTTCAAGACAGACACTTCTCTTCTCAGCCACACAGACAAAGTAAGTTTTTTATGACATTCCCCAAGTGTATGTGTATTTATTCCAAAATGCTGTTAAAAAATGATGAAAGAAGTAATATATTGAAAACAATTACAAAGAATTAACAATACATACTTCTTTCATCTGTTTAATTCTTTGTAATTAATGATTAATCTGTTATATGGTTTCCAATTTTTATCTATATATTGCATCACATTTTTGTTAAATATCATTATTTGCTTGATAACAATATATGTAACAAAACATAGCATGTTAATAAATTCAGAAGTAGTATATCCATATAAGTGTTTTTAATTTGTGAAATCTACCTCTATATGTCATATAAGGATTATATTTAACATTTTAATTTATATCAGTGATAGATAATCTCCCGTGCTGTATTCAGTTTTATTGGAAAGAGGCTTATCAAGATAGATGGCACTAGCTTGTATATATCATCTACAGAGAATGTCAAATGTTGCAAAATTTTCAATTCATCTTAATCTTATATTTGTAAATACTGAACGGTATTGACCCATTTTTGGACTGATATAAATATGTAGAGATTAAGCTTTTACAATATTGTACAAAATCGCTCGGAAACTATAAGTTATCATTGATTTTATAAATGGTATCAAAATCGCCACAATCAGATTACAATAAGATAATTTCGTTTTTATATAGTATTTTAGTTTGCTATGACAATTCTTTACTATAGAATATTTATAACTGTACATGAAAATCATCTGTGGTCGACATGTCCATCCATTGAACTGACAGCATATTATTTTAGACCGTATTTAATTTTAGACCTATTGACAAGCCAAAATTGTTTCTGTAAGATGACCAATGAAAGAATGTGCTAATGAAGTTGGGTATGTGCCATACAGTGTGCTATTAGGGAAATTTTGCTCGAACAGCGGCGCTATGGCTTACCCTTATTTTGAATTCCAACTGTTAAGGGTTCTTCTAGACACCGTCCTTGTCCTGCACCACTGACATGGTTTTAGAGAGGACAAAATTAAAAGTAGTCTTTAGTAAAACTCAGGTTTTTTTGTTAATCTTGGTTGTTTTTTTTTCTCTTCAGATCTGTGAAAGATTTAGCTCGACTTAGTTTAAAAGATCCAATGTATGTATCAGTACATGAACATGCTACACATAGTACACCAGCTAAACTTGAACAGGTCAGTTATATTTTTAATAATATTACTCATACTTGAATACCCCAGTTCCTTAAAGAAAGTTGGGGGTTGGATGGTTGAATGGTTAGCACGTGCTCACTGCATCATAAGGCTTGTCATTGAGTCAGCTGGCGTGGTTTCGATTCCTCGGTTGTACGTGACAAGGAGTAGGGTCACCTGTCCAACCTCGTGGGTTTTCTCCAGCTCCTCCGGTTACCTCCCACTGCTAAAGACCCCTACGCGCAAGCGAATAATTGAAATAAATTTGAACCATATGTTAGTCCAGAAATTACCTGGTTTGTGTCAAGTGGACGTTAAACCTCATTTCTCTCTCTCTCTCTCTCATAAAGAAAATTAGAGATGAATACTGGTACACACCCAGAACAGCAAGAAACTGTTATTCCTTAGACAATCTCAAACCATCTGAGATATGTGAATAAATTTCCGTATTATAGGACAGTTGTGCGTGTGTCACAGCTGTGCACATGACAGTGCGGATTGGGGAGGTCTAAGTGCTAAAGGGTTAAATATTACTGTTATATAATGGTTTCATTTTGAAAAAGAGTTGTAAGTCGAAGTCCTGAAACATTATGATTAAACCACAACCATATTCTACATAAAATCTGTTTGTACTACTGTTGATCGGGGATTATTCCTTGATCTATTCTTATCTACAACCCATAAAAGTAGAAGGTTCCAGGAATTTAACATTAAAACACAATAAATAGAATTAAATTATGTGTAAAACTGCTTTAAAATATATTTTTTAAAAAACTAAGCAAATGCTAAAAATTGTCATATTCTTTGAACAAAAAAAATCTTGCTAATCTGAAATAAACAAAACATGTCAAAAATGAAGCGACTGACAAAATTTAAAGTGAAAGTAGATAAGATGTTGTATGTATTTACAGCTTACAAAATATATTTACAATTTCTATTTCTAGGAATGTAAAATCTATGTTACTTTCTCATGGCAAATTATAATAAATTATATATATATTTTCAGAGTTTATATTGTTTGTTAACTACATCATAAGATAAATGTATTATGGTCATTTATATATATTTTCAGAGTTATATTGTGTGTGAACGTGGTTGATTATATATTTCTTTGTGAACTACATCATAAGATAAAGGCATTATGGTCCTTTAGATATATTTTCAGATTTATATTGTTTGTTAACATCATAAGATAAATGTATTATGGTTGTTTATATATATTTTCAGAGTTATATTGTTTGTGAATTACATCATAAGATAAATGTATTATGGTCGTTTGTAAAGAATCATCTATATAGTAAAGTTTTAGTATTTATCAGCTGCTGTAAATTGGTGAGTATATTTTTGTGGATTTTTGCTGCTATAGAAATGTAATGTAATATGAATTAAAATGTGTGTACTGATAATAAGAAGGCAAATACATGTACGGATAATATGAATTAACCATTCAGATTTTGAAAACTTTAATGTTTTGCCATTCTTGTATATAATTGTATGTTATTTTATTTTAAAATATTTGTATAATTGTATGTTATTTTATTTTAAAATATTTTTTATAATTGTATGTTATTTTAGGTATGTTAAATAATTGTATAATTGTATGTTATTTTAGTTTAAAATCTTTGTATAATTGTATGTTATTTTAGATGCGTTATATATTTGTATTTATTTTAGGTATGTTAAATAATTGGGTGTTATTTTATTTTAATATCTTTTATGTAATGGTATTTTATTTTAATATCTTTTATATAATTGTATGTTATTTTAGGTACGTTATATACATGAAGCATTTAGAATATTACGTCCCGGTCAGACAATACTAGCTTTACATGGTGGTATGAATCAGATAAAGAGAATGGAAGTGTATGATATGTTCTGTAGAAAGAAACATGCTGTATTATTTGCTACAGATATCGCTGCTAGAGGTTTAGATATACCTGCTGTTAATTGGGTTGTACAGATGGATTGTCCTGAAGATGTTAATACTTATATACATCGAGTAGGACGAACAGCTAGGTACCTATCTTGTCAATTAGACTGTAAATATTTCCATTTACCCTTCACTTTTGTTGAGGAAAAATAATTAAATTTGCTGATCGTCATTCAAATTAAAAAGAGGCTCATCAAAAGACTTCATGAAATGAAATGAAGTTTAAAGTTTGATTGTTCTGCTCCAACTGGGCTAATGAAGATGGGTATACACAATACAGTGTGCTATGAGGGAAATTTTGTCCAGACAGCGGCACTATGGCCTACTCTTATATCGAATGCCAACTACCAAGGGACCTTTTTCATACACGCCAATGTGTACACGGGACCTCAGTTTCCATCCCATCCGAAGGATTAGACAGCTGTCATTGTCAGGCCCTGCACCACTGACGAGCGGAAACCATGTTGGAAAATCCTGATAAATTTTCTCGGCCAGCACCGGGATTGAACCTACAACCTCCAGGCTAGTAAGCCAGCGTCTTACCCACGTAGTCCACAAAAGAGAGAGAGAGAGAAATGGGGTTTAACGTCCACTCGACACAGACTAGGTCATTTCGGGACTAACACATGGTTTAATTTTATTTCAATAATTCGCTTGCGCATAGGGGTCTTTAGCAGTGGGAGGAAACCGGAGGACCCGGGGAAAACCCACGAGGTTGGACAGGCAATCCTACTCCTTGTCACGTACAACCGGGGATTCGAAACCACGCCAGTTGACTCAATGACAGACCTCCTGATACAGCGCGCGCATGCTAACCATTCGACCATCCAACCCCCCAGTCCTCAATTCCTCAAATGGCATTCAGAGACTTTTATATCTTGAAACAAAACACTGTAGTGTTATTTGCATATCCTTATCTTCATTCACAGTTCTTTAAATGAGCTGTCTCAGATTCTTGGAACACCATAAATGTATGGATGCCAAATGTCAAAATGTGTCTGAATAGACTGTTTACTTAAACAGAATGTATTATAAGTGAAATGATCGCTAAATGTGCAGTGAGGTGTTTACTTTACTCATTTTTGAAATAACATTGTTAAATTATATGTGAGTAACTTAGTAATCATGACAATCACTTCGCTACTAAAACTTCAGTTTGGAATTTGTCGAATTTCGGCCAGCTCTACATGGAAATAAAATGATTGTAATTTTTTTCGAAGAAGTATAACAGAGTTTCATATATTTGAATAAAGTGTCTTTCACACAGAATTTTATCTTGTAAAATACATCTGGGATGACTTCTTTAATTCCTTTATCTCGGTTACGTTGCTAAATCAAAAATTAACAGATTGCAAATTCTCTTTATACAAAGGTGTCTTATAGAAGATCCCCATTTTTGGGGGACCAAGAATTGGTCGCTACACACTACTCATCTTGTTCTTGTTCTTCTTGGGGTGACACTCTTTGAAAAAGCCTAAGGCTCCATTAATTCAAGCCTGATTGACATGAAAATTGGCATGTTTTTTCTTTGAACAATCTTGCATCGATTTGGTGAATTCGATTTTTGAATTTCATCCAACAACATGGCCAGTTCCTGGTCCATAGTACTATCGTACTTGTTTTAATCTTTCAAGTTACAATTCAAAATCCACATGCCCTGTATTTCAGATTTGAACAAAATGGAGAAGCTTTGTTGATATTATTACCATCTGAAGAAGAGGCTATGGTAAAACAACTTATAGATAGAAAAATACCCATCAATCAAATCAAGTAAGTGTATTATTTAAACCATTTTATTTAGAATCTTCTTGATACACCTGATCAAATTATCACTGGGTTTTGACTTCAAGCAAAGTTTTGAGTCATAAGCATCCATTGTGACATATATACATATATATTATTATGTTTCAGAAGGTGTTGTATATATTTTGTTTTGTTTCAGGTGGTGATGTGTATATGTTTTTATGTTTTAGAAGATGTTATGTGTATATATGTTATTATGTTTCAGAGTTAACCAACAGAAAATAGTCAATTTAAAATGTAAATTAGAAGCTAATTGTGCATCTTGTTTAGAACTTAAAGCCATGGCACAAAGGGTAAGACACTATTATTAACCTATTACTTCTTGGATCACTCAGAACTACAACTCCCTCTAATGTCTGAATCAAGTGTTTTGAGTCAATCAAGAGAGTATAGTCTGAATCAAGTGTTTTGAGTCAATCAAGAGAGTATAGTAGTTTTGGGTAGTTTCGAAAATAAGCTATAAAACTCAATGTAAAAATTATCAATTTCTATAATGTTTGTACATATAATAAACTTAAACAGTCAGTCTCCTCAAGAAAAATAGGTGTTTTTAACTGGATGTGGGGTTTAACTTCTGCTTTCACCGATAAAACAGACAAATGTCTACCTAGAGACAATTAGCTTTTTATACTACACATTCTTAGCTGTTAAAATAGAAAAAGATATGTCTATGTGTGTCAGTTTTTCTCAAATCTGTTCTATATTCCTGTCCTGATCTGAAAACGTGCTTTTCTGCTGTTGCATTCTTTTTTCATACGAAAGCCATCTTATTATCTTCGTTATAATATACCAGTCTGTGGTTTAATCATTTTGATTTATATACAGCATGGAACTTGAGACGTGTTTTCTTATCTAAAACCTGTGTACACAGGACTTGACTGTAGTATTTAGAATGAAAAAGTATAAATAAACTGAATGATTTTTGTATAATTTCAGGCTTTTAAAGCTTATATAAAGAATATTTATTTAATGAAAAATAAGAAAGTGTTTGATGTTACAAAACTTGATACAGAATTATATGCCAGGTAAGCTATACATAGATATATATGTACTTTACTCTCTTGTTATATACAAGCTCGGCATTGAAACCATGTCACTTGACTCAAGGACAGACTGCATGATCTAAAGCTCAAGTGTTAGACGACTTGACCAACCCCCAGCTCATTCAGTAACACATGTAAGAATCATTTAATAGTTATATTCATTGATATGAATGTAAAACTAATAAAAGAAAGGCATAATATATATTTAAAGATACATTATAGGAGATTAGATAAAGAGCTGGCAGTTCTCACTATAATAGTTAAAAACTAGATAATGTAAAGGGAATTTGCTGAAAATTTCAGTCAAATTGATCTACTCTGAACTGAGATTTTAGCGATTAAATTTTCGGCCTAGCCTCGATCATCATTTCTAAAGTCAGTACGATAAAAACATAGTCTTGATTATCCATTTCATTATTAAATTATTAATGGAAGTCGAACAGCAAATCGGAACCTAATCCAATAAACATCGCAGGCTAGCAATGCCATCGAGAATTGATTATGGTCTGGATAAGTTAATGTCTAATTAATAATTTAGATAACATTTCAGGCTTAAAGAAAGACCTGCAATAGGCAAATTTAGCTCTTGTATAATGTATGTTTGAGGAACTGAATATATAGTAAAAACTATTGTTACCATTTCAGATCCATTGGTTTAGCATTTCCGCCACGGATACGTTTCTTACAAAAACATAATAAACAATTAGCATCGCAAAAACCTAGTGATACAGATCCTTATAGTAAACATAAGACATTTAGTGATAGTGAGGGGGAGGGGGAGGAGCAATCAGAAAATGAAAGTAGCGGTGAACAAACAGAAGATAAAATGGTTTGTGCATACGATAGTGGTAATCACAGTAAATCCAATGCTGCATTAGGATTTGAAGTTGATGATGAAGGGGAGCAACTCTTCTCAGTAAAAAATATAGATGTTGATGTTCCAGAAGGGTTTGGTGTAAGTACATGAAATTTGTTCTGTTGTTGAATTACTAATGAAATGGGGTTTTAATGTCCTACTTTCCTGCACCAACCAGATTAATGAAGACAAGCCTACTTCATGCAGTGTACTATAAGGGAAATTTTACCTGGACATCAGAGCTACAACCTACTCTTATTTTGATTTCAACTCTCAAGGGTTTGTTATGTGTACATGAGACCTGAGTTTTTACCAGTCATCTGAGAAACCTTCTCATCCAACACTGTAAGCAAACTCAAGACCTCCTGGTTAGTGAACCAGCACCTCACTGACTGATCCACTGAGTTTCCCAGAGCTTGATTAACCATTAAGTAAAATAAGCACGTGCTTAGGGCATCATGAGAAGGGGGGCACCACAGAATTTCTGCTTTGTTAGATGATGAATTCAAGATATTTAATTTAAAATTTAGTTAAGAACTTTCAATTAGTTTTTCATTGTTTTTTGTCTTTTCTTACTGTTTTGTCGCGATTATTACAACTGTATAAAACCCCAGAAAAACTCCAACCCTGTACTTGATGGTTGTTTATCGTTTAATATTGTTTGTAGTTTGAATTACATATATATGGGGGAACCAAAGTCTTTAAAGTGCATAAGGCCTCTATAGGTCTTAATCCGGTACTAAATTTCACTATTGCATTACAATAATAAAGAAATTTATCAAGACCTGAATTTGGCATGAATCACATCTGATTTTAGTTACCCGCTCAATTTAGAATTCAGTTATTTTAATTCTAAGAGAAGACTGCTATTTAAGTTAATTCTAATAGGGAGCAGGATATTGTTTATAAGGCATTTAGTGATAGGACTAACATTGAAAAAACACAACACTTGTTGAACCGTTGCACTATTAAAGTTGCTAGTGATTGTTATCCATAAAGTTGTGTTGTGTTTTTTCAAGGGAGCAGGATATTTGCATTCAAGATAACTGTGGTCTGACTGGATATATTCAAAGTTTTTACTTGCGACATGATTGATTTTAGTTATATGTTAATCAGGGGGTTGGGTGGCCGAATGGTTTAATGGATGCAGGTTAGATCATAAGATCTGTCATTAAGTCAAGTGGCGTGGTTTTGATTCTGCACTTGTACGTCACAAGTGTTGAGTCACCTGTCTAACCTGGTTGATTTTCTCCAGGTCCTCAGGTTTCCTCCCACAGCTATAGACCCCTACGTGCATGCGAATTATTGAACTAAAATTGACCCACATGTTAGTTCCAAAATAAAATAGTTTGTATATATATTTTAAAAATTGAAGGCCTGAGTTAATTCCAATAGGGAACAGGATATTTGCATAATAGTTGTCTGACCAGATATATACATTATACCTTTGACAATTTTTCAGAAAATAGATATGAATATGTTGACATCGACTAAAAATCGTACTATTACCAGAGAAGAGGAAGTAAAGAAAAAACAGAAATTAGCAAGAAAAGCCAATGTGTCTTTGAATAAGAAAATTGTATTTGATGAGGGTAAAGAGGAGGTGTGTATTGTTATAATTAATTTTCAAAGCATTTATTTTAATGTCAAGGCTTATCCCTAAAGACTAGCAGGCTCTATTCTCTGTGTTGTACTTAATAATAGTGGATATATTGCTGCTGTTGAACTGATCTAAGAAGGTAGAATGCTTGGAGTACTAATCTATAGTCTAGGGCCCTTGTGTCAGTCATATTTAATTCCACCGAGTCCTAATATAGTCTGATATCATATTGTTGTATAGTTGTTATATAGCCTGATAGTCTTATATTATATAGTCTGATATAACATTGTTGTATTATATAGTCTGTTATCATATTGTCTGATATATTGTTATATTATATACAGCTTGATATAATATTGTTGTATTATATAGTCTGTTATCATATTTTTATATTATATAGTCTGATATCATATTGTTGTATTATATAGTCTGATATCATATTGTTATATTATATAGTCTGATATCATATTGTTGTATTATATAGTCTGATATCATATTGTTGTATTATATAGTCTGATATCATATTGTTGTATATTATATAGTCTGATGAAGAAGATGTAGAAGAAAAGAAAGGATTAAATATAGAATTAGCTAAGAAACGAATGGAAGAAGCTGATAAATCAGATAAAGAACTTTATAGACAATTAATTAAACAAAGAAAAAGGGTAAGAGAACTTAATCTTTTAAAGGTCTTCATTTTAAAGACTACAATGTCTTGTATGACTAGAAATATATTTAATGATGATAAAAGAATAAAGTTGTAGACCTTGAGATCTGTGAATGTTCACTTGAATCCCACAGGATTCTCTTAAAACCATTGACTCTACCTGAATATTAAAGATACATTATGGGAGATTCGATAACGAGTTGGCAGTTCCCACTATAGTAGTTAAAAACTAAATAACGTAAAGGCAATTTGCTGAAAATTTCATTCAAATTGATCCACTATGAACCGAGAACTAAGCGATTGAAATTTCCGCCTAGCCTCGATCATCATTACTGTTTAAGTCAGTACGATAAACAGCAAAGTCTCGATTATCCATTTAATCGTTAAATCGTAAAAGAAAGTTATGCAGTGCTAGCGATGCCATCTAGAGTTGATTATGGTCTGGATAGGTTAACTAATGTCTAATTAATAATTTAGAAAACATTTCAGGCCTAAAGAAAGACTTGGGCCCTTATTCACGAAAACTTAAACTAAGATACAATCGAAATTTTAAGAAATACTGCAATTTGATTGGCTGACCAGTAAAATCAATTTGCATATATCCAATTTGCATATTGGTCAGCCAATCGAATTGCAGTATTTCTTAAAATTTCTCTTAGTTTAAGTTTTTTGAATAAGGGCCCTGCAATAGACAGATTTAGCTCTTGCATAATGTATATTTAATAGAGAGTTGCATAACTAGTTGTGTTAAAAAAATAATTGAAAATTTTGTGAGAATTTTCTGGGGAATCTTGGGCTCAGCTCTGCAGGAATCTTTGTGCAGATTCGCTTCTAAAATTCTCTCAACATTCAGGGTATCAATTGATTGTGGTTACATCAGTATTTTTATAACCTAAATCTATTATAGGATGAGAAAATCAAATTAAAGGAGAAAAAGAAGGCTGAACTGGATGAAATGAGGGTAAGAGATTTACTCATTAAATTATGGAGAATTATGTAGTATGCTGTAATATAAAACTTATTTAAAAAATATTAGCTAAAAATATATTAAAAGCTAGTAGTATATATGTAGAGTTCTATGTTTAGTAAATAACACTTGCGTACAGTAACAGTACATACTGGTTGGGGAGCCGCAGTGGCTAAGTGATTAAGACGTCACCTCGCTAACCTGGTCTTCCCATTTTCAATCCTGGTGTTGGTCGAGAAACCTCAGATGGGACAGTAAAAAAACGAGGTCCTGTGTACACATTGGTGTTCACGTTAAAGAACTATTTTCAGTTAGAGTTCAAAATAACAGTAGGACGTAGAGCCGCTGTTCGGACAAAATTTCCCTCATAGCAAACTTTATGGCTATTGCCTGTCCTCATTATCTCAGTCGGTGCAGAAAAGTAGGACGTTAAACTCCATTTCATTTCATTTCACATATTGGTTGTTTTTATCAGAAAAGATTAGCAGCTGAAGATGGAGAAGAAGATGAAGAAGTAGAAGTTGTATTTCATAAAGGTGATGTAGATGATGATCAGGATCCATTAGACTTTATACCTGATCCTGATCAAATATATAACAATACAGATCAACAATCTTATAGTGATGATGATGAGGAGGAGGAGGATGATGAAAGGTACGACAATAACTTTGATTCTAATTAGATGAGAGTGATGAAACTCTTGAGTGTAGTGTTGTTACATCAATACCTTGTCATGAAGTTGCTCTGTTTGCTATTTATAGTTAATTTTAGTCCAAAACTGTCAGCTGTGAAACACGCAGTTGGTGATATCTCAATTTATCTGTTGACATAAAAAATTTAAACAAACACATATTATACTCTCACAAAACACATCAAACCATGTTTGGTCTGTGTTGGCTGGCTGAGAAATCCCCTTGTCAGTGATACACAAATTGGCGTGCACGTAAAAGAACCCTTGAAAGTTGGAATTCAAAATATGTGCAACATTTCCCTTATAGGACACTGTATGGCATAATGTCTGTCTTCATTAGCCCAGTCGGTGCGGAACAGTAGAACATTAAACTGCATTTTACTTAATTTTCATTTTCAATAAAAAGTGAAACTTCATAAAATTACAAGAAAATAATGGTTTTTTTTATATAGACCTAAAACAAAGAAACAGAAGATTGAAGTAAAATCTGAAAGTGAAAGTGAAGATGATGATGATGATGACACTAGTGATGAAGATAAAGATGTATCTGGTGTAGGTGCATCCCTACCTGATGATGAAGAATTAGCATTAAGATTGTTACAAAAATATTAAATCATACTAAAATTTATGTCGTCTTTGTCAATTAATTACAATCTCATGGGTTTTCTTTGGTTCCTCTAGATTCTCCCCACTGCTAAAGACCCCTACACTCAACTAAAATTATTTTAAAAAAATTTGTTAGTCACAAAATGAGTCGACGTTAAATCCAATTTCCCTCTCTTGTTGATTAAAGTTTCTTAGTTGAGGAAAAGCAAAATGACAAAATTTGAACAGAACAGATCTAGGAACATGAGGATTTTGAATTCAGCAATTGTTGGAAGGCTGCACGTCCTTTGTGGATCCTAAATGGGTGCTAGATTTGCTTGGCAATCCTCTCTGGTTGTCTAATTTTGAATTTAGAAAGAAAATTACCAGATATTCCCTGAACAAGAATACAATTAGCAGTCAATATGTGCTTCTAGCATACGACCTACGGGTATAGTAGTAGATACGGTAATTTTCAGAAGGGCTTTTTAAAACGTCTTCTGGTTTGAAATAAAAGTGTACAATATGTTAGTCTTGAAATGACCAAGTTTGTGTTCAGTGGACTTGAAACCTATCTCTCTCAGATAGTAAGAGCTATGGTATAAAGGGAGGTAATCATCTGTATTTAAAAACTAATTTGAGGGCCCATTTAATAATGGAGCCCCTGGCTGCAGATCGACTGAGACCTGAAGTATCCACATCTTTTTCTACTCCGGATTATCTAAGAATAACTGAATATGTAGGCTTACTGTCGGTTCTCACCAACTATTATTAAAGAATATCAGACTTGAAGTATCGAGTAATGAATGGACATTCCTCTGTGAGCATGCTAGTATGATAATCGGGCTTGTTATTGACGACACGCTGTCTGATCGCCTCGTGTCTCTAATTCTTGTTAACAACTCATTATTATTGACAACTGGTTAACAATGGCACTACTGTATACTGATACATCCAGATACGTTAACTAAATCGTTAATATTTGGCAACTAGAAATTGACACAAATGCGTCGCAATGCATATAATAATGTAATATGAATGTATATAAACTGATTTACATTCAGTTGTTTCCGTTTTTACTCTAATTTCAAATCAGCTATGTTCGGCGAAATACGCCAGAAATCTCAATCATATTGCAATCTCTAGCGTCTGGTTATTCCAGTCTATACCGATAGTGTTTGTTGCGTATTCTTTCCAGATAAGAATATGGCATCACCGTTTGACATGACTTATGGAATATGTCTAGCCTCGTTCTTCGAGTCCATTGTTACAAATGGCGCTGAAACGCATTATGGTACAAGATTCGTGTACCAATGGTAAAATGTTTATTTTGTCTTAATTATTAAATATCTGTATCCCAACTTTTCCCGGTAAGATCACAACATCAATGTTGATTTAAATTGACAAATAATTCGTGTTTTCAATGTCGAAGACTTTAGATGATACTAAGTTAAAGACTTTAAATGGGGTTTCCAGTCATCAATAATTGGATATTTTTAACCTCATACATAAAATAATCAAACAATTTACAGAACATTTCGCCAGTGAGTTGCTCACAAAATAGCCAGCCACCCAGCGACGCTAGGGCCAAAACTATTTATTTCGAATTCCATCTGCCAGGGTTCTTCTACGTGCAAACCAACGTGTAAACGAGACTTCAATTATCGTCCCATCCGAACGACTAGAGACCATTAGCTGGAGAATAGCTGGAAAGTTCCAGTGAAACTTTTTCGGTTAACACCGGAATCGAACCCAGGACCACCTGCTTAGTGACCCACCGCCTTATTCACTGAGCCACCAGTTTGAAGACAAAATTTGCCATCAGTTTAATCAATATTTTGGCGAATTCTACCACCACGTGACCCAACCAGGAAGAATTTGTATGTGCCGGGCCGGGACAAGACGAATTTTGCCCACCACCAAGTTTGCCGGAACATTCAGAAAATACACTACATTTATAAAAAAAAACCAGCTTTAAATAGATACTTATGAGCCCCAACCCCGCCCCCAGTTGGGCTTTATGCGCCTCAGAGTTATGTATCGGCAGCACCCCCCTCCTCCTGAGCATGGACTAACCGGTGCTGGTGAAGATTCGTTTGGTCGACAACGTATAGTCGTTTGAATGGGCCGAAAAACCGAGGTTCCGTGTACACATTGGCGTGCACGTACGAGAACCCTTGATGGAATTCTATGTAACAGAAGAGGTGTAGCGTCAATGTCCTGCCAAACTTTCCTTCGTAGCACACTGTTTTGCATATAACCGTCTTCATTAACCCATTATGTCAAGAAACCCCATTTCGTTTGATCGATGCATTTAGCTGATTATTATCCAGTTTCTCACAACTACATTAAAATTGTCGCATGTTTAAGCTTAGTTTTTCCAATACTTCGTCAATTCGTCAACGCCGCTATTTTGCTAAATCTGGTCTGAGGATGGTTCTTAAAGCTGGTTGTATTTACCGATAAAGATTACAAGGAGTTTTTGAGGAGTAATTTGGCATAATGGACCATTTGCGGGCATTATCGTATTTCTTATTGGACAGGTGCTCCTTAGATTAAAGCTCTTATCACACGCGTACTTATAATTCAGTCAATCTGGTTATACTCTATTAAATGAAAATTTCGACAGAGATATTCAGTTACAGTTTCTGTTCTTTAACCAGTGTAGTTATTTAAAATGGTTCAATCTAAGCCTCAATATTTTTTGCATATTTTCCTTTGGGACGAAAAAAACAAGGCCCGGTGTACCTTCGGCGTACACGTAAAAGAAGCCGTGACATTGCAGATGGAATTCAACCGCTGTTCCGGCAAAATATCCCTCATAGCACACTGCATGGCGTATTCCCGGTCGATGCAGATAAATAGGACGTTATCATTCATTCATTTATTGTATATTTCACCTATTCATTTCAATATAATAATATTCATTTCAGTAATAAATATAATAAACTGAAATAACAACATTTGTGGAGGAAATTTTATTCCTATATATCAACAACATGCATTTTTGAAAAAAAAAATATGAATAAAATTAAAAAAACAAAACAATTATGCCGTCGAATTTTCTCAATGCCACAAGGAGTAACATGAGATCTGAACTTCAGAATAACATGCATAACGGTGCTACACGCGCAGTTTGGTAATTTTATCCCCGGACACGATTCGGACACGCGCCTCGTGACCGGCACGCGATCAATGATAATAGATTGAATTTCATTTAACCCCAACAAGTGATCAGATGACATAATTTGCTAAATTTAGTTTTTATTGTCAAGTACTCTATTGATAAAATATAAATTATAACAGTTTCATTTCCTGAACGTAACTTGGTTGTTAATTTTTTAGGGGCCAAGGAGGCTCTGTGAGTAAGAGATAAATGATAAAAGCTAAGGCCCATTGCAGATTTCGTCATAGGTCACGAAATGTAAATAGGGTTAGGGCACGCCATTGTTGACGAGATTGTAGGTTAGGGTTAGCCCTAAACTTAACCCGTGCCCTAACCTTCATTACATCGCGTGACCTATCACGAAATTTGCAATAGACCTTAGCTTTTAGACCTAACCGTGATTAAAGAGCTGACTCAATAACCAGGATGTCCCGGGTTCAATGCCGGTGTTGGCCAACAAGTTCCCGGTAATTTCCATCGTGGTTTCCCTTTGTCGGGGCAGAGAGCCTTTAAAGGAAGTGAAAAATCCTTTGAAGATTGGAATTCGGCGGGTATTAGGCGGCAACACCACTGTCCAGGCAAAATGTCCCTCATATTTGCATTATATCCCGGTTGGAGAAAATGAAATGAAATGAAATAGGGCTTGATGTTCTACTGTTCTGCTCCGACTGGGCTAATGAAGACGGGCATACGCCATACAGTGTGCTATGAGGGAAATTTTGCCCAGGTAGCGGCACTATGGCCTACTCTTATATCGAATTCCACCTGCACGCCAATGTATACACGGAACCTCGGTTTTTCGTCTCATCCGAACGACTAGGCAGCTGTCCCTGTCAGGCCCTCTGTTCTGCACCACTGACAAGGGGGAAACCACGTCGGAAAATCCCGACGAACTTTCTCGGCTAATGTAGGGATCGAACACGATCTCCAGGCTATCAAGCCAGCGTCTTACCCACTGAGCCACCGTAGCTCCCCCCGGTTGAAGAGGAAACGTAGGACGTTAAACACAATTTCATTATTTTCAAAAGCATCCCTGTTCTTTAAATGGTTTTGATTAGGCCCTATGCTATTTTTGGAAATTATCTGTACGTTGTTTTAAGATATTGAACGGGTCTGTATACTGTGTTTATGATATTTTAAGGGATTGTATTATGGTAAAAGATATTGAACGAATCTGTATACTGTGTTTATCGTACGTGTATATAAATGTATATCGTCTTTTATCAGCTGTGCAGGTGAATTATATAAAATTTATCTAAGTGTATGCTGATTAAATACACAACTTATGGCCCCACTTTCAGTTAAAGGGGCAGTGCCTTCCTAGAATGTGAAATGAAACAACCATGGGTTGAAAATAAATTACGATGTGAATCTCCATAAATAGTGCAATGAAAGTGTTCAGAAATAAGTTTGGCGTTTGCATGCTTAACTGGTAAAAATTTGTTTGTTGCAAGCATAGACTGTACTCCAGTAGTTTATTTAGAATATTATTTATTTCACAGTAATCTACTATTTTGAACAGTGTTTGTTTGTCTTTTTAGCAAATGTTTTAACTCACAAATCCACCTCTGCGCAAATGTAAAACCCACCCCTGCGCAAATGTAAAATCCACCACTGCACAAATGTAAAAAGCACCACGGTGCGAATGTAAAACCCATCCCTGCGCAAATGTAAAACCCACCACTGCGCCAATGTAAAAAAAACCACGGTGCAAATATAAAACCCACACAGCGCAAATGTTAAACCAACCACAGCGCAAAATAATGTTAAACCCACCATAGTGTCCTAAGAAGGACATTTTGCCAGGACAGCGGCGCTACGGCCTACTCTCATTTCAAATTCCTACTGTCACACGGACCTCGAGTTTTCGTCCCATC